CTGAATTCTCAGCCCACAGCAGAGCAACTCAGCTCTGGGATGGCTCAGTTACAGGGGCTTGACACGGCACCCAGGAGCACATAACCCCAGATACATCCATCTTACTCTGCATGGGAGTTTTACACAGAGCAAGCTCATGTTGGTTGTTTCCTTGATGGCTCAGAGACTCACAGCTGTTACCCTTCCTGTAACCTGGGTTTCTGAATTCTCAGCCCACAGCAGAGCAACTCAGCTCTGGGATGGCTCAGTTACAGGGGCTTGACACGGCACCCAGGAGCACATAACCCCAGATACATCCATCTTACTCTGCATGGGAGTTTTACACAGAGCAAGCTCATGTTGGTTGTTTCCTTGATGGCTCAGAGACTCACAGCTGTTACCCTTCCTGTAACCTGGGTTTGATTATAAACAGAAGTGGTTTTATTAAGTGTCAAGTAGGATTTCAGGGGCTGCAAGCAATAAACAGACAGATCAAAGTAAGTTACTAAGTTACAATAAACAAAACTCGCCAGTTAAGCCTAATACACTGAAGTTGTTACGAATCATCATTTCTCACCCTAGCTCTTATTTCAGGTAAAATCCTACTCGGGCCGAAGCTGATCTTTTTCCTGGCCTAGGTCAAGCAGCTCCCCTCCATCCCCATCCTTAGAGTTCTTAGTCCCAGGTGCTTTCATGTATCCTCTTAGGGCAGGGAGCAGTCTGTAAACCAGTTGAAGACCTCCCCATTTGCTTCTCATTCCTTATAGAATTTCCCCAGGGCAGGAAGTCTTTGTTCAATTCTCCCCAGCCCTGTGGAAAAGTACGGAATTCAAGATGAATTCCAGCACCCGGTGAGATGTCATTGTAGGACCAACCATAGCCCAAGCCGACAGCCAAAAACAAGACTATTCACAGATTATTGTCTTGAGTACTGGCCATTAAGTTCCTTGAATCCTGCAAACGGCTTTCACTACCATGTCTAGCTATACAAATGGGCTTGTGCTTCATTTTTCTAACTTCACATTCAAGCATGATCCATGTACACGCATAGCACAGACACGTTTGGTGGCTTAAAAGCTCTTCAATGATTGGTTGCGTGCCCCATTTGCATAAAGCATGTTTGAGTTAAGCATCTTCGTGTTCAAGAACATATTTCCATAAAAATACAAGGGGCACCACAGCACAATACTGATCTGCTTTTGAAAGTGCTTTGAGATCTACAGATCTGGATACGTACCATCCGCTCCTCAGCTGTTGGAGGAAGAGAATCTTTCCTTGCTGCTGTAAGTTGGGACCGAACATAAGAACGGCCAAAACTGGGTCAGACCAAAGGTCCATCCAGCCCAGTATCCTGTCTGCCAACAGTGGCCAATGCCAGGTGCCCCAGAGGAAGTGAACCAAACAGATAATGATCAAGCGATCTGTCTCCTGCCAACCATCTCCACCCTCTGACAAACAGACTGGGGACACCATTCCTTACCCATCCTGGCTAATAGCCATAACCTCCATGAATTTATCTAGTTCTCTTTTAAACCCTGTTATAGTCCTAGCCTTCACAACCTCCTCTGGCAAGGAGTTCCACAGGTTAACTGTGTGCTGTATGAAGAAGAATGTCCTTTTATTTGTCTTAAACCTGCTGCCCATTAATTTCATTTGGTGTCCCCTAGTTCTAAGCCCTAGAGTGGGCTTAGATTGGAGGAGAAGGAGCATCTCTTGACTTCGAAATGTTGACCTCCCTGAAACTGCTGGGTGGAACAAGGTGCACTCTCCCGGAACAAGGTGCACCGTGCTTGTAGGTGTAGGCACCAGCTGTTCTGAAAACAAACCATGGCCTCAGTGGCTTCTGAAGCACCATCTGCAAATGGGAAGCTGCTACCCTGCTCAGATCAGATAGGGAGTTAATCTAGAGGTCACGGCTGGTCAGAGCTCCACAGCACAGAAAACTGAAACTGTTTGCTTTTCAATTTTGAGAGAGACTTTGGTCACGGGGGGGGGGGGGTAGGAATGAAGGCTTTCATTGAAGACAAACCTTCCTTTTTTTCTCAGCTCTGATCTATTTTCTTCTCCTAAAATCCGCCCGCCTCTACCTGAGCCTGCATGCGGCAGCTGCGTTTGAGCCACGTGCGGCCGTGTGGGAGGAATTCCAGCTAATGAGCAGAGCGCCCCCCGTGAGGCTTTGTTTCGAGTGGTGGCGCATAGAAAACATTATTCTGCATGTGGATAGAAAAGATTAGAGCGGGGGTGGGCAATAATTTTTGGCCGGGAAGGGGCGGGGCCTAAAACAGAAGGGGCAGAGCCAGGATGCATCTGGGCTTCCCCACCCACCCTCCACACACTCCCCTGCCCCCAGGACAATCAAGGTTTGGGGGCGCGGAAACACGTGAAGTCTCCTCCCATTCTGCCAGGAGCACATGGCAGGGCGAAGGAAACTTCCTGTGCTTCCCCCACCTCTAGGCCCTAATTGGCCTGGGGGCAGGGGAACAGCAGGGCCTCAGTGGGCCAGATCAACCCACTTGGCAGCCTGATTGCTTTTGCCCTCCCCTGGATTAGCGGGACCACTGATTTGAACCCCACTGTCTCAAGACAGACCTCTTGAGTGCAAAGCTTCCTCGCTGACGGAACAGGCGCTGCACCGCGACTGGGCTGGCATCTCGTGCTGTCAACCCCCCAGGCTGACTCGCCTCTCGGCTCGCCCCTGCAGGTGTCCTCGTGATGAAACGGTGACGTACCTCAATGCTGTGGGCAACAGCACCATGGCCAAGTTCAGCTTCCAGATGTTCCAGTTTGTCAACCACTCGGAGGTGTTCCTGCACTGCCGCGTCCGCCTGTGCCTCCTCGATGGCGCCGAGCCCTGCGTGAAGGTGAGGTGGCCGCTACCTCTGAGCGGGGCTGCGCGGAGGCAGAGGGCGTGGCTCTCGCCCTGCGTCGGATTCTGTTCACAGCTGGCTACGGAGCATTCCCTATGGAATTGTCACTCGTGTGAAAAATAAACAAGGACCCAGTCTCTCAAGGTTACCAGTTGTCCAGTATTGGCCCAGACAGCCTGGTATTTGCAACCACTGTCCAGTTAAAAAAAAAAAAGCCAGAAAATCCCAGACATGTAAAATGGCTGGTGTTTTTTTTTGTTTTTCTCGGACAGAAAGCCGGTTGGGACATTCTTCCTCTACCGTGTCTGGTGGGGGCAGGGAGAATTAAAAACACAGTGACAGTGCTTGCTTTTATTTTAATTTTTTTCTTGACAATTTTGTTTCTCTCCCCCCACCTCCTTTTTTTTTTTTTTTTTTTTTTTTCTGCTCAACCAATTTTTTTTTCTGCCATGTTCGGTATTTTTCTGGCAACCCTACCTCTCAGGCTGGCCTGTCAATCTGCTAGCAGGGCCTGCGCATGGACACTTGTGAAAGCCCAGCGTGAGGCCCCATTGATGTCTGGGTATTGGCGTTACAGCAGTGCCCTGCAGCTGCGCACAAACCGAGCAGCCTGTGCCCGGCCTTAATTTGCCCCACTTCCTTCAGCAGCTCGCTGGGCTTCCTGACAGAACAGAGCAAGCCACTGCTGCTGGGTCTGCCTGCGGGTGGATTGGAACCTGGGACCCTTGGAGCTTAGTGGAGGAGGCTCTACAGCTTGAGCTATAAAGCCAGCGGGCTCCCCGCATACACCGTAGAGGTCTATGTGCCACTACTTGGGGCAGCGACTCACCCCCGCCACAGCTGTGTGGGTTACACTTGCTCTAAGGGGCAGCTGCCTAGTTATGGAGTGCCAGTGGCGTGGCAAGGAAGGGATGGGGGGGCAGTTGATCCTAGGTGCCACACTGGGGTGTGTGCACCAATTGAGTCCCCCTCCGCTGTCCCTGTCATCCCTCGGCTCGCCGCCTCCTGCCCACCCGACCCTGCTGGCGGGTTAGTGCGTGCGGGGCCTGGCCCCAAACCTGAAGGGTTGGAGAAGATGCAGTACAAGCTCCCCCCCTCCTCCCAGGGTTGGGCTCAGCTGTGCACCAGATTCAGGGCGGCCGGGGAGGCACAAATTTTGCCTTTGCCCCCGGGTGCATAACACCCTCGCTTGCACCTCGTCTCCTTTCCCTCCGAACTTGAGGGCACCTCGTGGAGGGTTTTCACTTGCACCCCCCCCTCGCTAGCTGGCTCCAGCTTGTTTGTTGGTCCGCCTGGCTGCTGGGTGAGCCACCTGCGAGCATTACCTGTAGCTCTGCGGCTGGGCAGAGACCTCAGCAGGGCGGAGTCCAACCCCCTGCCCAAAGCAGGACCAAGCCCAACTTCTTGGGTGGGTGCCGGAGGCAGGGTCTCCCTGCCAGTAAGCGAGGCTTGGTCTTCAGAGGAATGGCTCTTGCCACGCTGCATGGGAGCAGAACAGGCAAGCGTCCCAGCCTGTCCTAGCGGTTGCCTCTGCTCTGCTCACAGCAATGTCCCAGGAGGTTGAGGAAGAGGGCACTGGAGGAGGACTACAAGAAAATTGTCTCTTTGGGGCCCATCCATCTCCTGGCCTCTCCCCGTGCTGGAGCCCGGGATGCCGCGTCAGGGACGAACCAGCAGGACCTTTGGGGTACGTATGACGCTTGCCCCGGGTTATATGTAGCCATGAAAAGAGGTGGCGAGATCGCTGCCCTGCCATGTGGAAGCTCAGGGGCTTCCTGGCTGGAGATCTTGGTGCTCCCTGGTTGTCTTCTGCAGCCCCTAGAAGCCTCGAGCTGTAGCGTGCATCCTCCTCCACCCACTGAGTCTGCCCCTTCCACGGCTGGATGTCAGCCATGGCACAGTCGCTTGGGAGGCCAGGGACTGGCCCGAGGGGAGCTGGTAGCTGGAAGCCGAGGGGCCCGGGGGGAGCTGGGAGCTGGAAGCCTGTAGACCAGGGGTGGTCAAAATCTGGCCTGTGGGCTGGATCTGGCCCACCAAGCCATGTGATCCGGCTCGTGGCCTGCCCTGCCACGCCACGGCCCCACCGCCCGGCCAATTGAAACCCAAGGGCAGGGTAGCAAAGTCTCCTCCCTCCCTTGCCCCCCTCCCCCGGGCGGCCCATGGCTCCAGAGGGATTCCAAACAGCTGGCAGTTCCCTCAGGCATGGCATGCCCCAGCTGGGCAGGGGCAGGGGACTTCGCATGCTTCCCCACCCCCAAGCCCCGATTGATCTGGGGCATGGGAACATGCAAAGTCTCCTCCCCCCCCCGGCGGGTGGTTCCCTCTAGGTGTCGCACCTGCCCTGCCCTGCTGGGGGCATGCAAGAGATCTTGCGTGCTCCCCCATGGGGTGAGGGAGCGTTCGAATTCCCCGGTGCCTAGTGGGCCCCGCCCCTTCCAGAGGCTGCTTCCCACTAATCTAGAGATGGGCTAACGACGGCCGCAACTTCTCACTCATGGTATTGTGCGTGAGGTGGCCTGTGCAGACCCTGCCACAGCGCATCAAGGCCCCGGTGTGCGTCACCATTTGGCGCAGTGTTGCATTCACGTGCACAGGCCAACAGTACAAAGCTGGCTCGCGACGATATTCGATAGTGTGGAAAGCATGGTGCAGCGTGTAGAACTCCGCATATGCAAAAACAAAAGGAAAAACTATGGAGCACTTTAAAGACTAACAAGATGGTTTAATAAGTGATGAGCTTTCGTGGGGCATGAAAGCTCATCACTTATTAAACCATCTTGTTAGTCTTTAAAGTGCTACATCGTCAGTTTCTCCTTTTGTTTTTGCAAGATCGAACATGGCTACCTCTCTATTACTATTCAGAATATGCAAAGTACCCTGAAAATGCCCAGTAATATCAAACACAAAAATTGCTAAAAATAACTCTCTGGACCTTAGACGCTTTAAGTAAGAGACTGTCGGGAGGCGACAGGTGCGAGGAGCCGGATGTGTCTTTGCACCATGCAATGTCCCGTTTGCTGGATCCGCAGCCTCCATGGTTCTTACTAGATCTACCCCGGTGTGCAGCTCTCCACTACGGAGCACAAGGGGGAACCTGAAATGTCGTCTCCTCTCTTTAGGGCTGCACCTGTGGGTCCCTGGTGCCCTGGCGATGCTGATCGTGGCTGGCCTCTTTGGGCTGGTGGCTGTCGCTAAAGCCCTGAAGAAATGAGCGAAGCCCAGGGAGCCGCATTTCTAAATAAACCAGCCGCTTGCAGAGAGTCTGTCGGCTTCCTTAAAAAGCATCCTAGACTCCGAGGGCTGGGAGAGACCTCAGGAGGTCATCAAGCCCAGCCCCCTGCCCAAAGCAGGACCAGGATGCTCTGGGAATGGGCTGCTTGTTCCGAGTAGGGGAGCTGGGGTCATGCTCTGAGGCTCAAATGGCTACACTAGGGGTGGGAGCTAAATTCTGATGGGGGTGGGGGGTTCTCCAAGATGTTGGTGAGTGGCCATGGGCTGCGCTTTTCTCTGGGGGAGGGGGTGGGGTCTGGGATGCAGGTTGGGGCCAGAAGGGAGCTCACGGTAGGAGATAGGGGAGCCTGAGAGGTGTTGGGGAGCAGGACGGGATTGGGGTGCGGGGCCATGAGGGGGTAGGGGCACAGGAGAAGATCTTGATGAAGTGCAGAGGGTTTGGGTTATGACCTGGGCTGGCAGCTTGGCGTGCAAAGTCAGGGAGAGGGGTATGGGTGAGGAGAGGATTCTGGCCTGGGGGAAGGGTGGGTGTCAGAGGGCCTGCGTGGTGACGTGGTGCAGGGAGTGAGGGTTGTCAGGAGCTGGCTCTGGCTGGGAGATGCTTACTTAGCTGACTCCTAGCCAGCAGCTCACATCCAAAGGCGTGGCAGGCCGGATCCAGCCCCCGGGCTGTATTTTGCCTCCCCTGGGTGAACCTCTCCCTGCTGCTGAAACAGTGGAATTTCCTGGCATAACCTACAACATCCAGGCTGGATTTACAGAGCTCACCTCGCTCGAATGAATGACAGGCTCCCAGGCAGAATCACGTGGCTGTTGCTGTGGGAACCAAAACTGGGAGCATGCTGGCTCTTGTGTCTAAATTCTCCAGCTGCTTTAACATCAGCCTCTCGCCCTGGCTTCTGCTCCCAGCCTGCCTGTCCTTGCACATCATGCTGGTATCTAGCTGGCTTGCCAGCCACATCCACCGTGGGCTTGTTTCATTGCAGGGGGGCTCACGCTGATACATACCACATGCTCTACGTAAGTTCTTTCAAACACCAGTGGTTCTGCAGGCTGTGAGCTTCATCTTGAGGTGGGTTGCATCCAAAGGCCTGCTGGGACTGTGTTTTGTAGAAGTTGCTATACAAGCCAGATCTCTGCCCGGAGCAGGCTTTACTGACCCGCAGTGAACTCAGAAGTCTGGGGGAGTTGAGCAAAGCCTCTTTTCCAGGCAGGTGGCTGTTTGGAGCAGAGAAATGCTTTAGGGTAAAGAGATTTCTTGTAACAGCAGATCCACAGTTCTGCCTCAACACTGTAATTATTGGCCTTTTGCATTGGCAAATGAACAGGTGTGCAGCACCTTCCATGCAAGCAACCCACTCCCCAGGTAAATGCCCTTTCCCTAAGCCACTCAAGAACCCAGCCCCCTCCTGCTGTGTTGGCAGTCTGGTGGCTCCTAGCCTGGGTGGTGGGGCAGGGCTCAAACCTGCTACCCTTCGCTCCCAAGGCGAATGGCCTATCCCCTAAGCCACTGGAGAAGCAAGCCCTCCACCCTTTCTCCCTTCAGAATGTGCCTTATCCTGTGTGACTCCACGTTGGCCTGCGCGACTTACTCGGTCACATCCCATGCCACCCCTTGGCACTACAGGGAAGGCCTTTCTGTACGGAGGTGGGGGGTGAGGTATTGATGCAAAAGCAGGCTTGCAAAAAAAGCCACTGCGGCGAAGTCTGCTTCAACCGCTGCCCTTTTGCAGGAGTAGAGCAGATCTGGCAACCCATGCACCGCTGCAAGCAGAGGAGTAAATAGGGGCGCACACGGAAGAGCCCCGCAGACTTCCGCTTTTGCCCTGTGTCACACCCTGAAGGTTCCTAGTGTTGTCAGGAGGGAATCCTCTAGCTATACGTAGTGTATAATTCATTTAGGGTACGTCTAGGCAGGGGGGCTATTGCGGGATACCGCAAGTATCCCAAAATAGCTACCCCGCGTCTTTTAAACTCGCCTGTTATTTCGAAATACTTTTTGAAAGGCAGGTGTGCTATTTCCGCATTGCTGGAGCCCTCGTTCTACGTTAGTTTGGCGCACGATTTTGAAGTTTGGTGCTGTGTGGACGCGCCCAATTTTGAAATACGATCGAAATAAGATACACAATTGCATATCTTATTTTGAGCATAGGGCAGGGTGTAGCTGCACCCTGATTTCTGCAGAAGCCCCCGGTTTTCCCCACGGCCTAGACCTGGGGCCAGGCATCTGGCTGGAGTGGGTACGCACATACCCTCAGGGGTACTCAAGAGAAGTCTGGGGCAGGGGAGGTACGTCAACACGGCTGAGATTTGGAGAAAACTGAATTTTTGTGTTTTTACAGCGCTTTATTATTTCTGTACTTTTTATACCCAAAAATGTCATCACCCGCCTGGCTACGATTAAGTTGTTTAAACAAATGTGCTGCAATGGTAGAAAAAAAATTGTCTGAAAACTGTAGGTACTGGGGGAGAGGTAGATACGTTGGGGGGCAGGGAGAGGGTCCGGAGTGACCCAGACAGATTAGAGGATTGGACCAAAAGAAATCTGATGAGGTTCAACAAGGACAAGTGCAGAGTCCTGCCCATGGGACGGAAGAATCCCAAGTATTGTTACAGGCTGGGGACCGACTGGCTAAGTAGCAGTTCTGCAGAAAAGGACCTGGGGATTCCAGTGGATGAGAAGCTGGATATGAGGCAACAGTGTGCCCTTGTAGCCAAGGCTAATGGCATATTAGGTTGCATTAGGAGGAGCATTGCCAGCAGATCCAGAGAAGTGAGTATTCCCATTATTCGGTTCTGGTGAGGCCACATCTGGAGTATTGTGTCCAGTGCTGGGTCCCCCGCTATAGAAAGGATGTGGATGCTTTGGAGAGGGTTCAGTGGAGAGCAACCAAAATGATTAGGGGGCTGGAGCACATGACCTATGAGGAGAGGCTGAGGGAGTTGGGTCTGTTTAGTCTGCAGAAGAGAAGAGTGAGGGGGGATTTGATAGCAGCCTTCAACTTCCTGAAGGGGGGTTCCAAAGAGGATGGAGAGGCTGTTCTCAGTAGTGACGGATGGCAGAACAAGGAGCAGTGGTTTCAAGTTACAGTGCGGGAGGTCTAGGTTGGAAATTAGGAAAAACTATTTCACTAGGAGGGGGGAAGCACTGGGACGGGTTCCCTAGGAAGGGGGTGGAACCTCCATCCCTAGAGGTATTTAAGTCTCAGCTTGACAAAGCCCTGGCTGGGTTGATTGAGTTGGGATTGGCCCTGCCTTGGGCAGGGGCCTGGACTTGACGACCTTCTGAGGTCTCTGCCGGCTCTATGATACTTATAATTTTTTGGAGGGAAAAAGGGGTCCTTTATATATTAAAAAAAAAAGGTTGGGAAACACTGCTCTAGGGGGCCAGTTCCCAGGAACCTGCTGGTTCCCATGGATACCTCGTGCAGACGGACTCCCTCGGTGCATTATGCGCTGTCGTTGGAGGGCTATACCACCCTGGGTATCCCTCTGGGTATCCCTATCCGTGGGAGGCGATGTGGATAGCCTAGCTTGTTTCCGCAGCTACAAATATATCTGCACAAGGCTCTCACTGCAGTTCAGTTCAACGCCAGCCCTGACCCTGTAGTGACTCTAAGATCTATCGGATGGGGGGTGATACTTGAACATTTTCCCTGCTGGCTCAGTTCCTAACTCCCGGTCCTCTTCTGCCTTAACAAAGGGGGGCTGCTGCAGAGCTCCAGTCCCACGTGCCCAGAAGCCGAAGCCCTGATGGCTACGAGAGCGCCTTAGAAAGCAACGCCCAAGGGGTGTGGGCCCTCAGGGCCTTTGTAGCACTTGGCCCAAGCGGATGAGGGGCGTGTGGGAGACCCCAAGCAAGCTGGGCAGGTTGGCCAGGATGTCCGCTGGGGGCCTGAGACACGCCAGGGCTCTAGGCTCTGGCTTCAGGTCCTCCCAGCCCCCTAACCAGGCAGAGTTAAGAGTTGCTCCTAGGGCAGACCAGTGGGGCAAACTGAGCTGTAGCTAGGTAGCCTTGGGCAAGGAACTTGGGCCCCTCCATGGCCCCGTTCACCCTTCTGTGAAGGAGGCACGATGCATCTCCTCGCGCCGGGCATCAGGCTCAAAGGGAGGCACCCAACTCCCGCAAGGGGGCACGGGGCCTGGCGGCGCTCTCCCGCTGGCGCAGCTGGCCACTGGGAAAATGCTTCTCCGCGGGCTGCCTCGGCCTGGCAGCCGGAGGGCCCCCGGCTAGCTGTGGGACGCGGTGGTGACTTTCTCGTTCCTGCCGGTGCCGAAGGAGGCGGCGGCTGTGTCCCTCTTGGGGTAGTAGAGGACCGCGAACCAGATGAAGATGAAGAGGCCTGTGGAGACGGAAAGGCCTCGCTGAGGGCTGGAAGCACTGGTGAGCCTGCTGGCTACTGCGTGGAACAAGGTTGAACCTCGCCGCCGAATTCTCAGGGGGCGTGTGGGCAAGCTGAGCTTGGCTTCTAGGCCATTGCTGGGGGGAATTTCCCCCGCCGCCTCCTGCCTCAAGAAGCCCTTCCAAAGTGAACACCCCTACCCCCACCGGGTTAATGCTCCACCTCTTGCTAAGGGGTGGAGTCCAGAGAGGAGCGTCGGGGGTGGTAGCCGATGCTCCCGGAGAACATCATCCCTCGCTCTTGGGGCAGGCGGCCCATTAGCTCTCCTGTTTCTCTGAGCACTGATGGGGGATTTGAGATCAGCCTTCAACTCCCTGAAGGGGGTTCCAGAGAGGCTGGAGAGAGGCTGGTCTCAGCAGTGACGGATGGGAGAGCAAGGAGCAATGGGCTCAAGTCACAGTGGGGGAGGTCTAGCTCCCGGAGAACATCATCCCTCGCTCTTGGGGCAGGCGGCCCATTAGCTCTCCTGTTTCTCTGAGCACTGATGGGGGATTTGAGATCAGCCTTCAACTCCCTGAAGGGGGTTCCAGAGAGGCTGGAGAGAGGCTGGTCTCAGCAGTGACGGATGGGAGAGCAAGGAGCAATGGGCTCAAGTCACAGTGGGGGAGGTCTAGGTTGGATATTAGGGAAAATGATTTCCCTAGGCGGGTGGGAAGCGCTGGGCTGGGTTCCCCAGGGAGGGGGTGGACTCTCTATCCCTAGAGGGGCTTAAGTCCCGGCTGGACACAGCCCTGGCTGGGCTGACGGAGCTGGGATTGGTCCTGCGTTGGGCAGGGGGCTGGACTCGCTGATGCCTGAGGTCTCTGCTAGCCCTGGGGTTCTATGCAGTTAGGCATGGCCCCCCAGAATTGCCTCCCCTTTGCCAGGGAGGTGTGGCCGGTGGAGCGGTCCCAGCATGCATTGCCCCAGCTACGCGAGCCCCAAGTGGCTTTCAATTCCAAGTGCTGATGGGCCACAGCGGAGGCCTCCAGCCGCTGGTGCGAAGCCAGTGCCGCCGGGGGGCCCCGCCGGGGTGCAGCACGGCCTGGCTCTCATGCTCACCTTGCAGAGAGTTCAGCACGGTGAAGAGGTACAGGGCCGGCACGGACATGGTGCCGTAGGTGAAGAAGGCCAGCCCCCAGGTGGCTCCCAGTAGACAGGAGAGGCCTAGCACCGTCAGGCCCCCCTTCCAGGCCTCTATTTTCGCCTCCTTCCCCGCTGTGGTTCTCCTCAGGCCGCACAGCTTCCAGACGACCGCCCCGAGCACCAGCATGTTGGCGAGGAGGATCAAGCCGAAGTAGCTGCAGTTGGTGATGTAATGGACCAGCGCGTGAACGGCG